CTCCAGCCCCCCCCCCCCCCCCCATGTAATGGAGATAAAGAGAGGAAGACATGTTTGAAATTTAGTCTGGTTGGCAACCTTGGCTCCCCCATTTATACAACAGAGAAGTGAACGTAGCCACCCAAAGATGCATGTAATTTGCATGATTACTGTGTGACAATAAAAATGTAAAAAGCCTGAAAAAAGAAATGCCATGCAGGCAATTCAACTAGCGAATGGAAAGTTGCAATATGTTACATTTTTATTTGGGGTTTAGATATTCTTTAAGGGCTATGTTTATAACAGTGAATGTGAATCAATCACTGTCATTCACTGCTTTATAAATATTTAAGTGTCTTCACTCATGGAAACATAAAAGAGTGACAGAACAAGACCAAGTTGTCAATCAGGTCTGCCTTTTAAAATGTTTGTGTTTGTTTTTGAGGATTTGTTTAACCTTTTTGTCTGAGTATGATCTGTGATAGTATGATCTATGTTTTCCTAAACATGGTAAAATTCACTTACTGTTGATTAGCTCTCTCCCTCTGCTGGAAGGCTGTTCAACTACTTTTTCAGTAAAAAAAATGCGTTCCAAGGTTGGTTGAGAAGGTTCTTGCTAGTTTGAGGTTATGTCCAGTGTTCTAGTTCTTAGCTTCATGTTAAAAAAAAAAAATCCTGCCCTCCTGAACCCTATTCACACCCTTAATGTATTTGAAGGTTATAAGCATGACTCTGATTTCCTTCTGAAGACTCAAGATATTAAGTTCCTGCTGTCTTTCCTGGTGTGTTTTTTCACTCCATTTTCACCATGTATATTGCACGTCTCTGGACTTGTTCTATGCTATTAATATTTATTTGTAAGTGAGGTCTCCAAAGAGAGATCTGTATAATGAAATCAGGACCTCCTTACTTCTGCTGATGATCCCTCTAGTGATAACTAAAGATCTATATAGAGCAATCAGGACCTCATTGCTCCTGCTGGAGATCCCTCTAGTGCTAACTAAAGATCTATATAGAGGAATCAGGACCTCCTTCCTCCTCCTGGTGATCCCTCTAGTGATAACTAAAGATCTATATAGAGCAATCAGGACCTCATTGCTCCTGCTGGAGATCCCTCTAGTGCTAACTAAAGATCTATATAGAGGAATCAGGACCTCCTTCCTCCTGCTGGTGATCCCTCCAGTGATCACTAAAGATCTACATAGTGGAATCAAGACCTCTGTCCTCCTGCTGAAAACACCCCAGTTGTTAACTAAAGATCTATATAGAGGAATCAGGACTTCCTTCCTCCTGCTGGGGATCCCTCTTGTGATAACTAAAGATCTATATAGAGGAATCAGGACTTCCTTCCTACTGCTGGGGATCCCTCTAGCCATAACTAAAGATCTATATTGTGGGATCAGGACCTCTTTCCTCCTGCCGGTGATGCCTGTAGTGATAACTAAATATCTATATAGTGGGATCAGGACCTCCTTCCTCCTGCTGGAGATCCCTCTAGCGATAACTAAAGATTTATATTGTGGGATCAGGACCTCTTTTCTCTTGCCGGTGATGCCTGTAGTGATAACTAAATATCTATATAGTGGGATCAGGACCTCCTTCCTCCTGCTGGTGATCCCTCTAGTGATAACTAAATATCTACATAGGTGGACCAGGACCTCCTTCCTCCTGCTGGTGACTCCCCCAGTGATGTACCCCATCACATTTTTTGCTTTCCCCACTGCCTGGCCACACTGTTTGCATATTTTTCAATCATCTGAAATATAAATGAACGAATCTTTGTAGTTCTGGCCAACATTTTACCCCAATATTGTACTTTATCAGATTATTATTTTCCCCTAAGTGCATTATCTTGCATTGGACTTGGTAACTTTGAACTGCAGTTTCCACTGCTTTGATCAATTCCCAGCAATGCAAAATCATGTTACACATTACAAACATTTTCAGGAATACAACACAGATGAGCTGGATAACAATAATCTTTTTTTATTTAACTTATATATGTATTTCTGCCTACTTTTACAGTTGTGTGAATGTTGCCCATTAAAGTCTTTCATAACAATATAACCCTACAGAATTCTATTGATCAACAGCCATTTACGTTAGCAAACTTCATTCCTTTGGGATGTCTGCTTTGTCTCCTATGGCTAGGCTGTCTTACTGGTTGATCATCAGACAGTAGGGTACTTGATGACCGGCTTGACGTATGAAAGCACAGCTGTGATCTATATACAGTATTTCTCCCTTTCCATGTCTAAGCTATGGGCGGCCTTACCCAGAGGCCACAGTCTAGTATTATGTCTCACTTATATTATTTTACATGTTCCTCTTTCAATGCCTTATTCAACAAGGAAATACCAGACCGACTACTGCAGCAGTAACAATCATTACTGAAGAAGGATGAAGCTGATGAACCCGCCGGTGTGAACCGGCCACTTTAGAAAGAGGGGCCCAGAGCTCCTGCTCAGCACAGAAGGACGCTACAAGATGTTGATATAATGTCTGTGGAGTTACTTTATCCCCCCCCCACCCAGGGAAGGACATTTTATAGAAATGAGAAAATCTTTAAGGTGTTGCTAAGTTTGTGGTATCCACAAATATATTTAATATTCAGGAAAATCAGCCACGCTTCAGAGAAATGTCTGGGAATTAGCAGAGGAAGAACTGTCTCAAATTTCTTACAACTTATGGACTTTCTATGGCTTGGATGGGACAAGCATCAGAATCCCCTTGCTCTGGAACCCTAAGTAATATTGAGCTATTTTATTGTGATCCGTGTATGTCAGTAGAACAGTCTCTAAATAAAATGTTTACACTATCCTTTACATATCGTATTGCGACTTTTATGTTGTCTAGTGGCCATCTGAATATCTGGGGTTATGTTTTATATGTTTGCTGGAGGACTACAGAGTTAAGATCAATTTGCTGCA